AACTAGAGAAACAGATTTGATACTTGGCAAATCGATACAGTATGAAACTGTCTCTTTTTTGAGAGTAGTATGATGTTTCCATTACTTCCGGTTGAACCGGTGTCCAAGTCCTCCGGATTACCACGCACGGTTGACATTCTGTCTATGGTTTTTACGAGAAGCTGCTGAACGTCGAGGATTCTCAGCTAACATGCTTTTTACCCATGAAGCTGGTTTTACCAGAAATGGAATATTCAATTTACACAATGATCATGTGTGGTCTGACGAGAATCTTCGAGCCGTTGTTGAAACCAGACATCAACAGCGTTTTAGTTTAAATATCTGATTAGGCGGCGTAGGGGATAGGTTGTTGGGACCGATAGTTTTACCGCAACCATTAAACGGTCTAACATACTTTGATTTCTTGGAAAAAACTCTTCCTCAACTTTTGGAAGACTTGCCGCTAAATCAAAGACTAAATCTCTGGTTTATATAGGATGGAGCTCCCCCGCACTTTACGTGTATTGTTAGGGAACATTTGAATGAAAGACTTCCTGGGAGATGGATAAGGCGAGGGGGTCCCATTGCATGGCCTGCACGTTAGCCGGATTTGAACAGGCCAGACTTTTGTTTATGGGGTTACTTAAAAAGTTTAATGTACGCGACACGTGTAAACAATCTTGAAGACTTGCGGCAACGAATAGAACAGGATTGCCAGACAATTCGTGAAAAGTACGGGTTATTTGAAAGAGTTCGGGCTTCCGTTGAACGTAGAGTTAGAAACTGTATTGATGTTGCAGGTCGACATTTTGAACATCTGCAGTAAAAAGCTTCGTTTTGATGATGCTTATAAACTTGTATGTTTTGTGAAACTTATAAAAAGCGAAAGCATTAGTATTACATTGTGTAAATTCAACTTTTCTAATAAGTTACTTTAAAAAAGTTTTTTTTTTCAGAAACCTTAAGGAATACAAATTCTTTTTTCGAATTAATGTTGTTTAGAATTAATCTACATATCTATTCATTGTTAAATAAAATTTTTAAATTTTCTGTAAAATAGTGATATTTATTTTCACTTCCTGTCTAACTGGAATCAATGGAACCATCATACCACTCTTAAAAAGAGACAGTTTCATACTGTATCGATTTGCCAAATCGAATCTGTAGTAGTTATAGTTTAAAAGAAAAAAGGTAGAGTCCCAAAAAAATTTGAACACCTGTATCTCGAAAACGGTTGATTTGCGGATCCATGTTCATTAGGACTTTTGCACTTGTTGTCGAGTGTAGTACCACCCCTATAAATAAATAAGGGGGCGTTGCCACGACCAATCGCCCTTTGTGCGCTCTTTTGCAGTTCTTTTATAATTGGGACGGTAAGTTATTTACGCCCTTGCGAATTAATAGAAGTGTCCATCTTTATTTTGTGCAAGGATTTTCCATAATTATTTGCATGGTTTGTGCATTCGATTTTCTCAACTGCACATCCATACGGCACCGTTCGCTGTATTTGATAAAAAACACTGGAATCCCCATCAGCTATAAATTTTAAATACATCACTCCATGCAATTCTACACTTTTACTAAATCCTTCAACGATTATATCTGCTTCCATAGCTAATGAGGTGCTATGGATCCTGCGGCTTCCATTGTTTGCCACATTTGCTCCTTCCATGAACGGGAAAGTGTGCGTTCTATTTTCGAGAATTTATAGTAAGTCAACGTTGGAATATCCAACGTTGATAATAATTGATCACTTTGGGTATATGTTCCCCCATTAACTATAGTACCCCATACTACTGCCACATTGGGCGATACAGATTTTTTCGGGTGGGTTGAACAATCGATTTTTTTTTCACAGGCCTCACATTTTAATAATAGTGTACTGCTTAAACCATTTATTTTCTCATGGTCTACTACAACTTTACCAAAAGTACATTTCTTTCTAAATGATCGTATTGAATAGTTAACAAAGACTCAGTAAAATGATGAATGTTAACTATACTCTATTTCCATGTAACTTTTGGTCAGGGGTATTTACAGATCCTTTATTAAAAAAAAATAAAGTAGGTGGGGACTTCCGCTATAACCGGAAGTGCTAGAAATCTGAAAATATTTTAGTCCAACAGAGCGCAATTGATAATACTTAAATCTAAATTTTCAAATTTTTATTTTGGCCAGAACCCCGTATAGTTCTAATGGACGGTCGTCGTGGATGACCATGTATAAATGTAACAATATAAAATAACTAAAATAAAAATAACCATATATAGACCACGAAGAAACACAAGAAATAGATACTATAATAACGACACGCTTTTATACGAACTTCTGCAAACAGGCTATGAACATTTACGACATCAAAATAACGAATAAATTTTTTATGAAATAAAAAAAAAATTACGGTGTCAGTCGCACTTTGAAAATCCGAACCTGAGTCTGAACCGAACATCTAACGCCCTCTCTACATCAACGGCGTAACTATACCGGGTGTCCCTCAGAAGTGGCTCACCCCCAAGGTTTATATTTTAAAGGTTGTCTAAGTTCCTATGCTGCAATACTTTGATTTTAGTTTGTTGGCGAGGGGCAAGAGCAGGATTGTTTCGTGACGTAAGCGATCACGGATTGTGCACGCAACCTCATGTTTAATTTGAATTGCTTGGCGGTATTATTTTTCACATATGACGTAATGCGCAGTGTGGTTGCGTACGAACCTAGACAACCTTTTATATACAGGATGATTTATAACATACGGAGGAGACTAAATGGGTAGGTACTTGAAGTCAAACTGAAGAGATTTTCTTAATAATGTTTTGTTAAAATCTTAATAGTTACATAGATATCGCATGTTAATTTTTTAAATAAGTTAGCGTCAACTTTTGAGAACCGCTGATATTCACTAAAGAACAATAATTAAAATACTTGTCAACGCCATCCTCATTTTTGAAGGAGTTGTCAAAGTAGACAATTTAATTGTTTAGTTTTAATACGTAATTTATGAAATAATAGATGTTCATTTATGAAACGGATAATAATAATGTTTTAAATGCAAAATTACAAAATCTCTAAAACAAGAAAATAATAATAATAATAATAATTTCTATATAACATATGTTCAAAGTGCTGTCCTTGCATTTCGACGCACAACTGCGCAAGACGAATCCAATTTAACGATAATCGTGGAAATCGTGGACATACGTCCACGATTTGCAGTGATGCGATGTTCGTCAATTGTATTAACCTCGGTGGCATATACTCTATCCTTCATGAATCCCCATAAAAAAAAGTCCAATGGGTTAAGATCGGGACTACGTGGTGGCCATGGAATAGGTCCACCTCGACCAATCCATTTTTGCCGAAAAGCATTATCGAGGAAATCTCGTACATTACGACTAAAATGTGCAAGACAGCCGTCGTGCATAAACCACATCTCACGTCGCATAAGTAGCGGAATATCTTCCAGGAGTACTGGCAGATTTTCTTGTAAAATCTGTAAATAAGAAGTTCCATTAAGAGTTCCTGGTAATTCGAAAGGTCCTATTAACGTATTGTTCACAATTCCCGCCCATAGATTCACTCTGAATCATTGTTGAAAAGAGCTTTGACAAATAACGTGTGGATTTTCGTCCGATCACACATGGGAATTGTGAACATTTAGAACACCATTTCTGGTAAAACAGCATTCATCCGTTACCAGTATACTGTCCGCAAAATCTGCTTCTCTGTTGGTACGATTTAGTAGCCACTCGCAAAATTGCAACCGCAAAGGATAGTCAGCGGGAGTCAGTCCTTGCACTTTTTGAAAATGATAGGGGTGTAAACCGTTACTTTTCAACGTACGCCAAACAAAATTCTGGGATACCTCGAGTTGGTGAGAAATTTGACGAGTACTCGTGCTTCGATCCGCTTCCACAATTTCTAGAATTTCTTCTTCCACATTCACTCCATGTCTGTTTAGTCTACCGCCACCAAGACCTTTCTTAGGTTGCAAATTTCCTGTCTCTCTTCCCCGCTGGATTAACCGAAGAAAAGTGTTTTCAGAAGGGATCTGTCGATTTGGATATCGTTCTAAATACAGACGTCTTGCGTGTGCAGCGTTTTCTCCAGCAGCTCCATAAATAATAAGCATATCTACGTATTCTTCGTTACTGTACATTACCATTGTATTTTTTGATTAGTAAAAATTCTAATTTTGACGTTAAATGACATTGATTATTAAAATTAAATGACATGTCCGTTGCTAGGTAACCAAGTCAACTGGATTGACAGCAATAAAAACATGGTATCAGCGGTTCTCAAAAAACAAACACCAGTTTTTGAGTGATTTAACAAATTTTTAAATAGCCGTAACTGCCATATTACAAAGATTTTATTATTGGTGCTAATCAGGCATTGCTTAAGTAACCCCGAAATATTCGCAGTTTGAATTTAAACGTAGTGTAATACCGTATATCGTAAGAAATGCTGGGCAATTAATTCAACTTTAATGCTCTATATCTTTGTGATTATTACGTTGTAGTCAAAACATTATTAAGAAATTATCTCCAGTTTGGCCCCTAGTACTTGCTCTTTTAATCTGCTCCGTATGTTATAAATCACCCTGTATAAACCTTGGCTCACCCCCATATCGTTTTTTATTATTAGTGATATAAGAAAACCATTTGGAATGCATAGTCAGACCGTTAAAACGGATTATTACGACATGAAATCATTCTCTTTGTACTTCCGGTTATACCGGATGTGAGTACTAATTTCGCTATTTTTTAAAATCTATAATTTTTTTTTCAGTTGGGTAGATTGCATAATTTCACATAACTTTTAACTTTTAATTTAAATTTTAAAAAGCATAGTTGTTTACCTATACAAGAGAAAAAAACAGCAAAAATTAATTATAATAAACATCTTTAAATTAATAGATGTTTGAAAAATTTCGGGAACACGGTTACGTTGGGTAAATTAATGATTCAAAGAACAACAATTCTTTTTGATTCACTCTGTATACGAAGTGGTTTCGTGTCTTTGTAATTTTGGGACCTTGTGTATACATAGGTTGGCAGCACCAGGCAGCACTGATTACGACTGCCAACACAAATTGATACATAATCGAACATTTTATAATTTGTCAAAACCATAACAAGAAACACAAAACAAGTAAAACACTACAATAAATCTGCTTTAAGTTTTAAACGAATAGGTAAGATACCGATATTTTTAAACGTAAAGTATAATATAGTTAAACTTGTTCGTTTCCTGTTTAGTATTAGAATTTAACATTAAAAATGGGTGAACGTAAAGGAACCAACAAATATTACCCTCCGGATTACGATCCCAAAGCTGGAGGTTTAAACAAATGGCAAGGTACACATGCTTTAAGAGAAAGAGCCCGGAAAATCTCTCAAGGGATAATAATAATTCGTTTTGAAATGCCGTATAATATCTGGTGCGAAGGTTGTAATAATCACATTGGAATGGGCGTTAGATACAATGCTGAAAAAACCAAAGTGGGAATGTACTACACCACACCTGTTTATCAATTTAAAATGAAATGCCACCTTTGTGACAATCATTTTGTAATTAAAACTGATCCTGGAAATTTGGATTATATAATTTTATCAGGGGCAAGACGGCAAGAGAATCGATGGGATCCTTTAAAGAACGAACAAATTGTACCAGAGACAAAAGAAGTACAAAAAAGACTTTTTGATGATTCCATGTTTAAATTGGAACATCAAAGCGACGATAAAAGTATTGCAGAAAGTACAAAACCACGATTAGCAAAATTATTTTCTAGGAATGAAGACGTTTGGGGCGATGTTTACACAGCTAATCAAAAATTAAGGGGGGAGTTTAGAAAAAAATCCGCTGAGATAAAAAAGAATTACATGGCAGATAAAAATATCTTATCTAAATATGGGTTAAACATCCCTTTATTACCTGAAAAAGAGGAAGATGAAAGAATTGCATCTTTATTATGTATGAAATTGACACCAAGTAAAGATATTAAAGAAACCACCGAAATTGCTAGAAAAGAGATTATAAGTCGTTCATCGTTACCGACAAGTAATTTTAATAATTTAAAAGAACAAAAAGCTTTGAAGATTCTTAATAATGATTCGTTTAAATTATTGGGACTTGTTCGTAAATCTAGTCAAAAGGTTGATTCAAAAACATCTAATGACCAAAGTTCTACGAGTTTAACGCAAAAAGATCCTGTAGAAGTTCCTGCAAAAAAAAGTAAAACTGATCAAGTCAATGTAGATGCAAAATCTATGAAGCAAAAATCTTTGGTGGGATATGAATGTGAAAGTAGTGAATCGGAAACTGCAGATTAATGCGGATAACTTTTATTTTTATGATAATAAATAAATTATACTTTAACTAATACTTTTAAGAATTTTAAATTGTATATACTGTAACGTTCATTAAAGCATTACAAGATGTTTTACAAAACAGTTTCTGTCATTTCATTATTATTCTATATACAGGGTGATTCACATAAGAACCGACACAGAGCAGGGACATGTAGAGGACAATAAATTAAGATGATTTAACGCAACTTATCTCTATACCAAGTTGTACCCCTGAGGAGTTATAGGCCTTCAAAGTTGGGTCTTAAATTTTTAAAACATTGAATATCTTCGTAATACATTAAGCTAGAAAAACCAAATTTGGTATACGTTATGAGTGTACCGAGGGTATTAATTGGTAGCAAGTTGAGACCAATTGAGGCATTTCAAAGGGTTGATTAAGGGTGATGGTTCCCTAAATTTTGGCAGATTTTTTTAACCTTTTTGTGGATTTAATACATTATTACCTCATTTCATGTGGAATTTAATTCTAAAACTTTTTTTACTCTTACTATTTTTTAAAAAACATTGTCGTTTTCATAAAAAACTCAAAAAACTAAAGACGCGTATCTTGTTAATGCTACTTAAAATCATCGAAAATTCAGTAGTCGGCTGTGAAATTGTACGTAATTTGAGGAATAAACTGTTTATTATGAACTAAAAAAACATCATCCATAAACAAATTTAGTTTAGGCATAATAATTTTCTAGTGATAAAGAGAAAATCCCCAAAATGTCAAAATTAAGCACTTTTGTTATCAAAATCGATCATTACTCAAAAATTAATTGTGCTGGAGATAACTTTTTTTGAAATAAATTGTTTATTATGAACTAAAAAGACATCATCCATAAACAGATTTGGTTTAGTTATAATGATTTTCTAGTGATAAAAAGAAAATCATCGAAATATCAAAATTGAGTACTTTTGGTATTAAAATTGATCATAACTCAAGGATGAAAGGTGATTGAGAAAAGTTTTTTAGGAATAAATTGTTTATTATGGACTAAAAAAATATCATCCATAAACAAATTTAGTTTAGGTATAATGATTTTCTAGTGATAAAAAAAAAATCACCAAAATGTTAAAATTGAGTACTTTTGGTATTAAAATAGATCACAACTCAAGAATGAAAGGTGATAGAGAAAAGTATACTTCAAATAAAATGTTTATTATGAACTAAAAGGACATTACTCATAAACAGATTTGGTTTAGTTATAATGATTTTCTAATGATAAAGAGAAAATCAACGAAATATCAAAATTGAGTACTTTTGGTACTAAAATTGATCATAACTCAAGGATGAAAGGTGATGGAGAAAAGTTTTTTAGGAATAAGTTGTTTATTGTCAACTAAGAAGACATGATCCATAAACAAATTTAGTTTAGATGTAATGATTTTCAGGTGATGAAGAGAAAATCTCCAAAATGTCAAAATTGGGTACTTTTGGTGTTAAAATCGATCATAACTCAAGAATGAAAGGTGATGGAGAAAAGATGGAGAAAACCTTGTCGTCAAATAACTTTATAACCTATTTGTCAAGTTTGACGTACAATTTCATAGCCGACTACTAAATTTTCTCTTATTTTAAGTAATATTACGAAATACGTGTCTTTAGTTATTTAAGTTTTTTATGAAAACGACAAAGTTTTTTAAAAAATAATACAAGTAAGAAAAGTTTTAGAATTAAATTCCACATGAAATGAAGAAGTAATGTTAAAATCCGCCAAAAGGTTAAAAAAAATTTGTCAAAAATTAGGGTACCATCACCCTTAATCAACCCTATGAAATGCCTCAATTGAGTTCAATTTGCTACCAATTAATACCCTTGTTACACTCATAATATATACCAAATTTGGTTTTTCCAGCGTAATGTATTATGAAGATATTAAACTTTTTAAAAATTTAAGAGCCAACTTTGAAGGCCTATAACTCCTGAGGAGCACAACTTAGTATAGAGGTAAGTTACGTTAAATCATCTTAATTTATTGTCCTCTACATGTCCCTGCTCTGTGTCGGTTCTTATGTGAATCATCCTGTATATAATTTCTTTGTATGCTATACAGGGTTCATTTTTACCAGAACAGGTATGGGTGGCCTCTCACCCGGTGCCCGCTTGACGTTGAGTTTCGGGACACCTGTATATAGGTGTTTCAGATTTTTGTAGCAGGGCTTTAACAGTCGATAGATCTTTTAAAATTAACACAAAAACTTCATATAAACATAGGTCGACAAACGCTTTGTTTTGGAGATACAGGGTGTTCAAATTAAATTTTTAAATTGATTTTTATTTAATATTACACGTGTATTTCAACCGATTCTATTCAAATTCGGTATACGGAGGTTTTTTGGAATAAAACTTTTTACTAATAAAACCGTTTTACTATAGCCTTTAGAGGTATAGTAAAACCTAAGAATACGCTCTGTAACGCATTCTTTACGGATTAAAATAACAATAACTTTTCTGACAGTATACTTTTTGAATAAAAATTCTTATTTTCGGTACTTTTTTAAGTAAAAACGGTACTCTTATCAAAATGCCCTAAAGTTGATATAGACCAATTTTTTTCGAGGATTGTTAAAGATAGGTATAATAACCGCACCGGTTGGTAGCTGGCTAGGTATAATTAATTTTAAAAACAAAAACAGTTTGTCACTTAAACTTGACAGCGGCATTCGTATTTTTCATTTTGCATTTTATTTTTGATTCATCATGAATTTTTAAAGCCCTCTAGCGACCAAACTAAGCAATTTTGTATATAGATAAGTTGAGTTAAATCATCATATGTGGTCTTCCGTTGTAAACGTCATTTCCGGACAGCTATATATATATTTTTTTAATTTTAATTTAATTTACCATAACACATTGGGCTATCGTTGTTTTCATTTATTGTTTAAGTTATTTTGTATTATAATTTCATAATTATGCATACATTTATATATATACAGGTGATTCACATAAGAACCGACAAAGAGCAGGGATACGTAGAGTACAATAAATTAAGATGATTTTACGCAATTTATCTCTATACTCACAATAAGTTGTAACCTTGAGGTACAAGGTAAGTTATAGGCCTTCAAAGTTGGGTCTTAAATTTTTAAAATATTCAATATCTTGGTAATACATTAAGCTAGAAAAACCAAATTTGGTACATGTTATGGGTGTACCAAGGTTACTAATTGCTAGCAAGTTGAGACCAATTGAGGCATTTGAAAGGGTTGATTAAGGGTGATGGTCCCCTCAATGTTGACAGATTTTTTTAACCTTTTGACGGATTTAATACATTATTACCTCATTTCATGTGGAATTTAATTCTAAAACTTTTTTTACTCTTATTATTTTTTAAAAAACTAAGTCGTTTTCATAAAGTACTCAAATAACTAAAGACACGTATTTCGTTAATGTTACTTAAAATCATCATAAATTCAGTAGTCGGCTGTGAAATTGTACGTCACACTTGACAAATATTGTTAGATCATCTATTAGATGGCTTAAATAAAAATTCAAATTGATTTAAATATTCCCATACCGTTTCGGAAATGGTCTTTTTATGAGAAAGGGAAATTGAAGAAAGAGATTTGGTCGGTCACGTCAACAGCTAACAGAGGTAAACCTCAATATGTTATAGTTGCATTCCAAACCAATCGAAAGGATCAGCCAAATTCAGATTGTACACTTTTCGATCACTTGAACATTATAGATCTTAAAGTATATCTAAGCTCATACTGCTATCCATTCGAGTCGATGAATTTGGAGTTGGAAAACATCTCGAAAACAACCGAATATGGATTTCGCAAGCTTTAAAAAGAGATTCGTGCTAATAATAACGATGAAGAAGCCGCTCCGTCCGCATCATGTGAGGTGCGTATCGAAATTCAAAGCGGTAAAGATTTTCCGCCTGATACAAGCATACTGTATACTTACTTCAAGAATCCATGTACAGGATGTCCCGTTAAGCGTACGGAGCGGCTGTATCTCAACAATGGTAAGGCCTAGAGGTTTGGGAAAAAAATCCTTATAAGCAAAGTGGGCAAGAGAAATAGCTGGAAATTGTTTTGAAGTTCGTAATTCGACCGCTAGGGGCATTTTAGGGGCATTTCATGCTCTTTTAAAAGATATTTTCAGTAAGACCGCCTGGTTTAAAACAAATAAGCTAGAGGGCATTATCAGCAGCGGTTACATATTTTTGTGATTTTTGAAAAAAAGTTAAATGGGACGGTACTATTTACTTCACAGACCGTTAATCACCATAAAATTTGCTAAATATTAGTGAAAACCGCATCTCGATATCTCCATCCATTCTCGAATTATAAAAGAAAATGTTAAAAATTCGTATATCTTAATCGGATCAAGTTACCTTAGGAAACAAATAAGAGAGAACAAAAATTTTATTATCTAGAACCTTCCTTCACACTTTATCCAAGCTTAGAACTGCTTCAAAACTACTTTTGAGGCGTGTTGAAAAGCCAACGGATCAATGAAACATCAACAATGATAATAAAACAAAATAAACCAAAACACTTAGAATAACTTAAATTTTTGGCAAAAATAACTCACTAATGTGCGAAATGCCTTCCATAAACCTCGATGCATTTATTTAATCTAGTTTCGACGAAAAAAAAGCGCTGCTTAAGTCTCGGCCCTGGACACGTTTCTACTGGTATTTAGTGTTTTGTCATATTTTCCCTGGTTATTGGTTTTTCTTGAAAAGTCAGGTCGTTTAGTCTACCCAATAGATAAAGGGGTGAAAGCAATGTGGGTTTTGCTCGAACCAAGAATGCATATTATGCAAGTTTACATCAGCTTGTGGACAGATGCTTCATGCATCCATAGCATTTGTGATAAAAGGTTTGGATTTGCCCAAATCATATTTAAAAGTCAATGGTAATAGTTCAGTCTGTTATCATAATCGGTATCTGTTAAGGCCTGATGTAAAACAACGTGGTGGAGATATTATTCTCTTGAGAACTCTTGTGGACAATTGTTTTCGGAGTTCCCAGATTATGTGGGATCACATTGCGCACCAATATGATTTACGAATTCATAGAGATGTCTGAATGGGCTACACGTTGCCAGTTTTCCGTAATCGCTAAGTCAATCTTAAAAA